CTGATTTTTTTTTGGCGGGGGGGGAGGGGAGAGGTTTTTGCTATAGGGCGCGTGCGCTCGCCAGACAGACAGAGAGAGACGTAGAGACAGAAAGCAAGAAATCACCCCCCAGGGGGGATGGTCACACCGCAATCCCTTCTCCTCCATTCTCCTCTCGGGATCTTGGGCACGCACGCACACGCGCCCGACGTGAGTTTTAAGCCACTGGGTTCGGGACGCGAACCGCAGTTGACTACGTGGGAGTCCAGCGACATAGCCATTACGCTAACTGCTGGTCCCAATTCAACGGTAGTTTTCAAACACAGTCCACATTCTGTCTTATTTTTATTTTTTTATTTTTTATTTTTTTGGAGAGGTTTTTGCTATAGGGCGCGTGCGCTTGCCAGACAGACAGAGAGAGAGACAGAGAGACAGAAAGCGAGAAATCATCCCCCAGAGGGGATGGCCACACCACAATCCCTTCTCCTCCATTCTCCTCTCGGGATCTTGGGCACGCACGCACATGCACCTGGTGTGAGATTAAGCCATCGAGTCTGGGACCCCAACTGCGGTCGACTACGTAGGAGTCCAGCAACATAGCCATTACGCTAACTGCTGGTCCCTCTTATTTTTATTTTATTATTTAAAAAAAAAAAAATTTTTTTTTTGGAGAGATTTTTTCGCTATAGGGCATGTGCACTCGCCAGATAGACAGAGAGAGACAGAGAGACAGAAAGTAAGAAATCACTCCCCAGGGGGGATGGTCACACTGCAATCCCTTCTCCTCCATTCTCCTCTCGGGATCTTGGGCACGCACACACACGCACCTGGCGTGAGTTTTAAGCCACCGGGTCCGGGACGCGAACTGTGGTCCACTACGTGGGAGTCCAGCGACAAAGCCATTACGCTAACTGCTGGTTCCCCCTCTTATTTTTAAGAGAAATTTTTGCTATAGGGCATGTGCATTCACCAGAGAGACAGAGGCAGAGAGACAGAAAGCAAGAAATCACCCCTTGGGGGGCATGGTCATGCTGCAATCCCTTCTCCTCCATTCTTCACTTGGGACTTTTGGCCACACAGAGACACGCGCCTGGCCTGAGTTTTAAGCCACAGGGTCTAGGACTGGAACCATGGTCAACTACATGGGCGTCCAGTGATGTAACCATTGCGCCATCTACTGGTCCCATTACATCATATTTTGCTTGTACCTCTATTATAGCTGGTGATTATATTTCTATTTGGTAAAGAAAAAACTAATTTTGTTTTGTAATTTGCTGCAGGGCCGGAGAGAGAGAGAGAAAGGGAAAGTTAGAAGACATATCCCAGGGAGTATGGCTGCACCACAGTCCCTTCTCCCCATTTCCTCTCAAGATTTTGGGCACACACGTGTCCAGCATGTTTCTCGAGCTGCCGGGCCTGGAACTCAAACCATGCAGTCGGCTCCGTGGGACTAGCTGACTCAATCACCACACCACTTACTGGCTCACTTGTAAGACAATTTCTATTTATTTGTTAGAGATTTTTGCCATAAGGCATGCACACTTGCTAGAGAGAGACAGAGACAGACGCAATGAGAGGGAAAGTGAGAAATCACCCCGCAGGGGGATGGCCACACCGCAATCCTTTCTCCTCCGTTTTCCTCTCCGGATTTTGAGCAAGCACACATGTGCCTGTGTTTTTTGCCATAGAGCATGTGAGCTCACCAGAAAGAAAGAGATCGTGAGAAGGAAGTGAAAAATCACCACAGTCCCTTCCCCTGCATGCTCCTCCTGGGACCCTGGGCATGCAGCCACATGTGCCCGGCATGATTTCCAAGTCACTGGGCCCGGACCTCAAACGGTGGTCGGCTGTGTGGGAGTCCAGCACTGTAACCACCCCGTCACCTGCTGGCCAACCCCTCCTTCACCATCCCCACCCCCTGCCTAATTTTCAAGTGCCAGGTCCGGGCCTGAAACTGGGTCAGTCCTGTGGGAACCCAACACCTTAACCACCATGGCACCTGCTGGCTCCATATATGGTGATTTTTAATGCGTTAACTATGCCACGCCAACTGCATCACTAGTGCACTAAAAAGACAAAATCTTCTTCTGTCACTAAGCACTTAACGAGTCATTTTCCTTTAGCTGTTGTTTACACACAAGGTCTCCTTAATGTGGAAAATACATATTCTGAAAAAACTATGCATGGATTTCAGAATTCTTTGCACCAAAATAAACTCACACTTAATTCTATTTTCCATACACTTTTTGTTTTTTAATTTGCTAGATGGCGCAGGCACTGAGTAGAGAAAGGATGGAAACTAAGAAAGCACCCCCCCTATGGGGGATGGTCACATTGAATTCCCTTCTCCTCCATTCCTCCTGTCAGCATGTTGGGCATGCACAGCCGCACACCTGACATTTTACAAGTCACTAGGTCCAGGACTTGAACCGCAGTGGACCATGTGGGGCCCCGCCACCTTACCCACCATACCACTGGCTGGCCCTTTCCTTTATGAAGTCCCTTATATATCTTTCTATAATTCTCTTTGGAGAACTCTCTGCACTTTAAAATATCTATATTATTTAAATTTGCTATAGGGCATGTGTGCTCACCAGAGGGAGACAGAGAGGGAGGGAAAGTGACAAGTTACCAGTTCTGGGACTTGAACCAGGATCAGCCATGTGGGAGTTCAGCACCCCAACCACCACACTACCTGCTGGCCCCTCTTTCTACTTTTTTTAAAAATATTTTTTAAGAATTATTAATTTATTATTATTCAATTTGACCAGAGAGAAGCAGAGAGAGAGAAAGCAAGCTGCCAGGCCCAAGATCCAGATCACAGTCAGTCACGTGGGAGTCCAGGACTCATCACCATACCACCTGCTGTCCCGCTTTCCACTTTTTAATAGCCAATTTTGATTTCTGAATTTTAAAAATGTAAATGGGTTACTGAATATATATTTATTTTCTTTATACTTACTCTAGATAATACAAAGAACATGTCCATCATATTGTTCTTTTTTTTTTTTTAAGACTTACTTAATTCCATTTGTTGTTCTTTATTTGTAATTTGACCAGACAAGAGACAGAGAATGAGGATAAGGGAAAGCGAAATGGTAAGCCACCAGCTCCGGGACTCGAACCCACAGGTGTGGCATGTGGGAATTCAGCCCCTTTAACCACCACGCCACCTGCTGGCCCTCCATCATATTGTTTTTTATTTTTTTTTAAAGAGAGATTTTTGCTATAGGGCATGTGCACTTGGCAGAGAGACAGAAAGAGAGAATCACCCCCAGAGGGATGGCCACACTGCAATCCCTCCTCCTCCATTCTCCTCTCAGGTTTTTAAACTTCATTTATTTATTTCTATTTAACCAGAGAGGGACAGAGAGAAAGAGGGAAAGTAAGAAAGCAAGCTGCCAGGTCCAGGATTCGGAACTGCAGTCATCCATGAGGGAGTCCAGCACCTTTAACCACTATGCCACCTGCCGGCCCCTCCTCTTGGGATCTTGGGCATGCACGCACACATACCCAATGTGAATTTTACATGCTGGGTCTGGGACTTGAACCACAGTCAACTACATGGGAGTCCATGACATAGCCATTACGCCATCTGCTGGTCCCTGGTTTCTGTTTGCTGTTTTTAGGACATGATTGTGGTATAAAACAATTTTCAAAATCAACCCCAGTCAAGATATTCCTAGTTATACATACAACCAGGTGTATGTCATATATTTTGGATATAATAGAATTTTGGTCCTAATTCACCTTTTTTTAAAGAAAACTTTCTGCTATAGGGTGCATGTACTCACTAGAGAGACAGGGACAGGGTAAGTGAGAAGTCACCATCTAGGAGGGGTGGCCATGCTGCAGTCCCTTCTCCTCCATTCTCCTCTCGGGATTCTGGGCACACACACCTGGGTCTGGCATGACTTTCAAGCCGTTGGGCCTGGGACTCAAACCGCAGAGTCGGACATGTGGGAAATCCAGTGCTTTAACCACCAGGCCACCTACTGGCCCCACTTCTGATTTTTAAATGCCAAGTGGAAGATGTTTTACTTCCTCAGCCATGATGACATACATAATCCAATGGGCTGAAGCGTGTATTCAAACAGGTAACTTCTGCTTCTACCAATTTTAATGTTCAAAAGAGCAAAGCTCATATTTCAGATTAAAAAATCAACATTGCTGGTGCAAGACAAATATATACACCTAAGCAGTTTAAAACCTAAGGCAGCATGAATCATTTCTATGTGGAACTAATCAATTACTAATATGTATGGGTTATTTTGTGAAAGTAACAATAATTGTAAATCAGCATAATATTTCATTTATTTATTGCGTAAGTCTGGCAAACAGCACAAAAACCAGCAACATTTTAAACATGTAAAAAAGTGAAATACTAAACAGTACTGGAGACTTTTTTTTAACATCATTAGAAACTGAGTGTACATTTAAGATCCTGCAAAGCTAGCAAAATGAGGGTGCCTGGCTTCTGAACATATGCCACGGGAACGCACATGAGAAAACAACATAATTTACCTTTACAAAAATTACAGCCAAGCAATAGAAAAGAAGAATGCTAATGAAGATAGCAACATACGCTTACCACATGGATCTTCTACAGTGAAATGCTGCATCGTGTACCCTGAAATGCCAAGCAGAGCGAGCCAGCAGAGTAAATTCAGGCTCACCACTGAGGCTGAGAATTACGTGAGAAGACTTTAATTCTTCTATGTAACATACTCGATTAAAACCTTCTGTATAGCAATTCCTAGATCGTAACGATGTATCCCACTCTGTAACTACAAGGTGAGTCCTCTTTGTTGGCAGTATGAAATTTCTGACCTGTATCAAAATTCTGGTAAAACACAAATTGAAGGCATTTTCTAGTATATGCACGTGTTACAGGGGTAGCAATGAATGTGGAAGAATTTTATTCCAAGTTTCTGCTGAGCTTTGTCAAACCGAACAGCTCAACTATAAGGCAAGAAAAAATACCCCCCAATAACAAACTAGTGGGTCTTACCAAGTAACCACAGGCGTCCCGTCTTAGGAAGAAACGCCCTGCATTCAGATATCTGAAAGTCGGCTGGAAGGGAACATCCCGACACTGAGTCATGGTTCAGAGGCCCGACGAACTATCTGTTGCTATGTTATTAAATGAACTTTTTAAAATCAGCACCAGTCCCCAAAACCTCTAATTATAATGTTTAATCGTCATTAAAATACATCCTTTTTGTGCTATTGTAACACACCTACAATCAAGTTAAAGAAAGTTGAATTTATTCAACTTATTGTGTATTTTTACATATACTGGATAGCAACTTAAATTTATGAACTTGTGCTTCTGTTTTGGGGCACTTTGATTGAAGACTGAGAGTCCTTTCACAGGGTCACATCTTGCTAAAGCACTCCTTAGCATTGGTCCAGACTTGAATTCCCTAAAAACAAAAGAAACTTTAAAATGTGATTCTGGAAGGATTTTGAATACCCAAGTATTTGGCTTACAGGTATGCTACGTTTTGCTTTGTCAAATAACTAGGAAGCCCAGCAAATAGGATACTGTTTCTGGAAATGATTAACATAAGGGCCTAGTACTCTGAATAAAGCACTTTACTCTTAGTGAAGTAAGAGAGCTGACACGAACTGATCTTCAAAATGGAGGCAGAGTTCTAACTTCATGGAAAACTGCGTATTTGATGTCCATATCATAATTCATTCACTCACACCACATATTCATATTGTTTCTATTTGTAAAGCAAACACAGTTTCAAGCAGTTTTTCCATTGTAATGTTTTAAAAGGAAACGCTTTATTAGTCTAACAATGAAATACAAACTGAGATATTAAATTACTAGTCTAATAGCTAAAGTTCGGGTAAAAACCAATTAAGTATTAAAAATCACCGACTCCCTCTCAGTGGTTCTGGCATTCTACTTTTTTTTTTTTTTTAAGTTTTCACCTCAGGGTGCGTGCACTCACTGGGGGAAGGGAGAGAGAGAGAGAAACAGAGAGAGGGAAAGTGAGAACCCCCCCGCCCCCTGCCCCTGGGGGACAGCTATGCCATATGCCACAATCCCTTCTCCTTCATTCTCTTCTTGGGATCTTGGACACACAGGTACACATATACCTGGTGTGTGTGTTTTTTTTTTTTTTTTGGGGGGGGGGGGTTGCTATAGGGCCCATGAGACAGACAGAGAGAGACAGAGAGAGACACAAAGCGAGAAATCACCCCACGGGAGGATGGCCACGCCGCAATTCCTTCTCCTCCATTCTCCTCCTGGGATCTTGGGCACGCACGCACACGCACCCGGTGTGAGTTTTAAGCTACCAGGTCTGGGACGCGAACCGCAGTCAACTACGTGGGAGTCCAGTGACATAGCCATTAAGCTAACTGCTGGTCCCTATCTGGTGTGATTTTCAAGCTGTTGGGCCTGGGACTCAAACTGTGTTCGGCCATGTGAAAGTCCAGCACTTTAACTGCCTGCTGACCCCTGGCATTCTAGCCCAAAGCGATAGATGGCTTTCCTAGACTTAAAATGAAAACGTATGCCTATAAAGATGTAACAGTACAACCTAAGGAAATAGTCACAAAAACAAACACTTTTTTTCAATAAATAAGGTACAAATTCTTTTAGTTTCCCAGCTTGGCAGATATGAAAAGTTGATAAATGAATAAAAAACAAACATTCTTTTGAAACAATCTCAGATTAGCTGGAGAAACTAGTAGTATCTAACAGAGCATGTTAGAGAAGATAGTTCTCATGCACTGTCAACATAAACCCATGACACAGCAAGTGAAAAAGCAAACCCTGTGCACACTAACCCACATATATAATAAATACATCCTGATTTTGACAGGAGAAAAGTGTATATTTTGTTTTAAACCAAGAAGGATAACTATAAAAGTGTAAAATTGAGGGTTTTTTTTGTTTGTTTGTTTTTTGTTAGAGGGCACATGTGCTTGCCAGACAGAGAGAGAAGAAAGCACCCCACATGGGGAATGGTCACGCTGCAATCTCTTTTCCATTTCTCCATCCTTTTGGGATTTGGGGCACGCATACATATGCACCTGGCCTATTTCTCAAGCTGCTGGGTCCAGGACTTGAACTACATGGTCAGCCATGTGAGATCTAGCAGCCTTAACCACCTGGCCACAGGGCCAGCCCCAGTGAGGGTTTTTGTTGGTGTTTAATTTCATTTATTATTATTGTTATTATTATTATTTAATTTGACCAAAGAGAGAGAGAAAGGGGAAGTGAGACAGCAAGCTGCCACGACCTGGACTCAAACCGTCATTAGCCATATGGGAGTCCAGTGCCATGCCACCTGCTGGCTCCCTGAGTGAGTTTTTAAAAAAGGATTTTACAGTATAGAGGTTATGTTGCTGGACTCCCACATGGCCGACCACAGTTCGAGTCCCAGACCTAGTGGCTTGAAACTCACACCAGGCACTGTGCATGCGGCCCGAGATTCTGGAAGGGGAATGGAGGAGAAGGCACTGTGGTGTGGCCATCCTCACCAGGGGTGATTTCTCACTTTCCCTCTCACTGTGTCTGTCTCTCTCTCTCTCTGATGAGAACAAGTATCCTAAGGCAAAAGCCTCTAAAAAAAATTTTTTTTTCATAAAAAGGGATTTTCAAGACGGGAGAGAAATTTTTACTTAAAATGCTCCTGGATTATTTGAATTTTTTAGAATGCGTATATGTTATTTTTATAATAATTTTAAAAAGCTACAAATACAAAGTAGCTTAAACATTAAATAGGCATCTGAGTGTGAGATCCGCTGCTGCCAAAGAGAGGAGGGTCAACTGCAGCACCATGGCTGTGCCGGTGGGTCTGGCTCTCCTGCTTGGACTAGACGTGTCATTGCGATTCTCAGAATTCCTTACTTCCTGCTCCTCTGTGGATTTGTTCTGTAGGAATCCGGAACACTGGAATGATGGAAATGTCTTCTTTACAAAGTAGCCCAACAGAAAGACCTTGAAGGTTATGTGGGAGTTGCCAATCTCCCAAACCCGGTGTCAGGAAGCCAGTGAAGAGGGTCTGAGTTCACACTTACAGTAGCAGGTGAATCCGAACTGGGAAAGTCAGCATTAATCAGCCCACTACTCCTCACAGATCTGTGTTCTCCAGACTCTCCGGGTCCTTCCCATAGAATAAAAAAGTCCGTACAGCACCCAGAGGGCTTCCTGTGCTTCCTCTCCGCATTCCCCTCCTGTCCAAGACTGGCTCGTACCCACACAGATTCACCTGCCTGTTCCCGAACCTGAGATAGCTGCACTTCACCGAAGATGATGTGTAGTATCTATTCATGTTGGATGTAGCTGTACCTTTCACTGCTGTGGAAGATTCCACGGGGTGGATCACTTCTCTGTATTGTGAGTGTTTGGGTTTTCAGGTTTTCACTGACATGAGCATTGTTATACTTATCTTCTGGTGCACGCGGGCATTTGCCACTGCTGTGTGCACAAAGACATGAAGGTCTTCTATTGTTCCAGTTTATTTCTGTTGATTTCTAGTGAGGTTGAATATGTTGTTTTATACTCATTAAATGTCCAGATCTCAAAAAAAGTTAATTAAGCATTTTTTAAAAAGCTTCAGCCTTATTCAATAAATTAGACATTTCGCTATCAAAAAGACTGACCACAAAATACCCAGAAGTTTTATTTCCCTTTTAAATGCTTTTTTTAAAAAAGAATGATTATTTTTATTTACCTTTATTTATTTATTTATTTATTTATTTAAATTTGACCAAACTGGGGGAGAGAGAGAAAGAAAGAAAGTGAGAAAGCAAGCTGCCAGGTCTGGGGCAAGAACGATGGCCAGCCATGTGGGAGTCCAGCGCCCTTAAACACCACGTCACCTGCCACCCCCTTAAAGGCTTTTTTAAAATTTTGCCAAAGGCATATGCACTTGCTGGGGAGTGATGGGGAGAGAGTATAGGGAGAGAAGGAGAGAGAAAGAAAATAGAAAGCACCGCCCCCTGCAGGGAATGATCAGGCTGCAATCCCCTCTCCTCCACTCTTCCATCTTGTCAGGACTTTGGACACACATGCACATGAGCCCAGTGTGTCTCCCAAGCCACCAGGTCTGGGACTGGAACCTTGCAGTTAGCCATGTGGAACCAGTCACCATAACCATCATGCTGTGGGTTGGCCTTTAAATGCTTTTTCATTACTACATTTTTTATATTGGTTTATTACTACTATAGCTTAGTTATCTGATTATATTCCATTAACACTTCAAACAGCTGATGTTAAAATGAAGTGTATTTTTGGGAACCAGCAGTTAGCGTAATGGCTATGTCGCTGGACTCCCACGTAGTCGACCGCGGTTCACGTCCCGGACCGGGTGGCTTAAAACTCACGCCGGGCGCGTGTGCGTGCGTGCCCAAGATCCCGAGAGGAGAATGGAGGAGAAGGGATTGCGGCGTGACCATCCCCCCTGGGGGGTGATTTCTCGCTTTCTATCTCTATGTCTCTCTCTGTCTGTCTGGCGAGCGCACGCGCCCTACAGTGAAAATCTCTCCAAAAAAAAAAAAATGAAGTGTATTTTTAAAGTTAATATATAAATAAAATATAGATACCCATATTTATCCAAGAAAACTGAGGTTAAGCTTGATTTTGGGCACTTAATTTGTAAAGAAAAGATTATATGGGCCTGGCAGGTGGTGTGGTGGTTAAGGGCTCTAGACTCTCTCATGGCCGACCACAGTTCAAGTCCCAGACCTGGTAGCTTGCTTTCTTACTTTCCCTCTAACAAGGTCTTCATTAACATGGGGATTCATCTATTACGTGACTTACTGAGCGAACACAAGCTACAGCACTGATAAATTATGACATGTTAGACAAACATGAAGCCGGTAGCGATAGGCACACTGGCAGATTTCAGCCCATGAAATCAAGGTCAAGAAAAGCCTATTTTGGGGGCCAACGGGTGGCGTGGTGGTTAAGAGCACTGGACTCCCACCTGGCTGCCTGTGGTTTGCGTTCTGGACCTGGTGGCTTGCTTTCTTACTTTCCCTCTCTCTCTGTCACTCTCTGGTTAGATAGATAGATAGATAGATAGATAGATAGATAGATGATAAATAAATAGATAATTCTTAAAAAAAAAAAGAGAAATGTCTATTTTCTTCTTAAAAACAGCATTTTAGGGTTAGCTGTAGGTGTGCTGGTAAAGGCTAACTGCAAGTTTGGGTCACAAATCCTGCAGCTTGGAAAACATGCCAGGCAGGTATATACGTGCACCCTAAATTCCCAAAGGAGGAGAGGGAATTGTATGACTATCCCCCGTGGGAGATGCCTTCTCAATACCCCCCAACCCAGTGGACATGACCTTTGGCAAATTACAAAAACACAGTATTTTAGATGGTTTCTACCATTGCCCTAACACTTATTTTAACCAAAACAATCTTCAATGTTCCTATCTTCCACCATGGATGTATGTGACATAGAAGACTTACCACTTTACCAACAAGGCATATCATAACCAGATTTTCCCTAAATGTCAGCTATTTTCGGTCAAAGTATAACCTGTTCAGAACAGCATTTTACTGTCCATCCAAGACCATTATATAATCAATGTGATGCTGTTGGCATAAATGTTCAAATATGAATTATAGGTGTGCAAACAAATTTTACACTTTAGAAGAGTTAAGATTCATTCATGTCAAGTAATCGACATGATTGTTTTAACATTTCCTTTAAAATTAAGTAGAGACCTTGGGAAACGTTCTGCAAGGGACAAAGAATAAAAATTAAAATGAAAAAACTTGTGGTCCAAATAAGAGGACTAATTTTAAAGAAAAGTGTGAGCACTTGTGAGTATACCTGTTCTGGCACAGAGCCCCAAACCCACCTTCTTGCACATGCTGATCTGCATGACTGCATAGCTTATGAGGGCCTCCTTCAAGTCGTGGTTCTTTTGTTCTTTGAAGCGTTCAATATCAGCCCACGCATTTTTCACGAATTCTCTGAAATAAAAGGTACAGTCATTAATATTTAAATAAAATGTATATTATAAAAGCAACTAACCATTCCCATTTGACTTGGGTATTACCTATATAAAGGAAAAAGCTACTGCCTGTATAACACGGTTCTACTTTATCTTTTCCTAAAAACTACAGTGAGGGAAAAGGCAGAGACAGTCTTACATTCTCCCATTGTTTGAATAGCCTGTTTCTGCCACAAGGATCCACATTTGAGTTATTCCTATAAAACAGATATAGGTGGCTTTCCTGAACCAGCTTAAAAGCCCAACACGTCCCATAATGAAGTGCCTCCTCGGGGTCACTGGAAAACATATACTCTTACGATCTGGTTTCCAAATCACATTTTGCATGTACTTGCTTTAAATGACAACTAAAATTTTTAAAGTCTTAGAGGCATTTGTTTTTTTAACTCTATTCACCAAGTTAACAAAACTTAAAAATGAACAAAACCACCTCTAAACCAATGATGTACTCTTGGTGCGCCTTGGTCTACTCACTGTCAGGTAAAAACAAGAAAATGAGCCAAACAGATAAAACAGATCTCTGGAATTTCTAGAAATATTTATGGGATAATTATATGCCACACACTCAATGCAAGGCGTTACGACATAAACACAAGACGTGTACACCGGTTTTGAAGGGTTATTAATCTAGGTGGGGGTGCTAACACAGAACCACCAAGCACCCAATACAAAACTGCCACCCTGGGGCTAACAGGTGGCGTGATGGTTAAAACAATGGATCCCCACATGGCCAACCACGGTTCAAGTCCCAGACCTGGAGTCTTGCTGTGTTACTTTCTCTCTCTCTCATGAGCATATGTGCCCTGTTGTGGATTTTAAAAATAATAATAGTGATAAATAAACTTAAATAAATAACTTTTTTTTTAAAGGAATTTTTGCTATAGGGTGCATGCACTTGCTGGGGAAGAGAAAGACAGAAAGCAAGAAATCACCGCCCCCCCCCAGGAGATGGCCACGCCACAATCCCTCCTCCTCCATTCTCTTCTCAGGATTTTGGGCATACATGCGCATGCTCAGCATGAGTTTTTGGAGAGGTTTTTTTTTTTTTTCTTTGCTATAGGGCATGTGCGCTCGCCAGATAGACAGACAGAGACATAGAGACAGAAAGTGAGAAATCACTCCCCAGGGGGGATGGTCCGCCACAATTCCTTCTCCTCCATTCTCCTCTCGGGATCTTGGGCATGCACACACACGCGCCCAGCGTGAGTTTTAAGCCACCAGGTCCAGGACACGAACCGCGGTCGACTATGTGGGAGTCCAGCGACATAGCCATTACGCGAACTGCTGGTTCCCTCAGCATGAGTTTTAAGCTACTGGATCCAGGATTCGAACCGCAGTTGACTACATGGGAGTCCAGCAACATAACTATTATACCATTTGCTGGTCCCTATATAAATAATTCTTAAAAACAAACAAACAAACAAACAAACAAAACCCCTGCCATCCTGGACGTGACGGAGGTGCTGGGATAGCCTGAGAGGGTGAGGAAAGGCATCACAATGATAACACTCGAGCTGGCCACTGAAGAATGGTTAGGCTTTTGTTAAATGGAGGTGAAGAAAGGGCGGAGGAAATGTGAAAATTACAGAAATCGTGAAAAGTTCAGGAAAATAATATTATGAAGTAGAAATTCTCTTCTTCCTGTTTCCCCCACATTAAAACAACTATTTCTGTAACATGATTTTTGACAACTCAGATTCCTTAGGAACGTAATCAACACATTTTAGAACAGCCTATGCCCATGGATGCTATGAAACTAGAAACTGTTATGAGAAACGATCGCCATCTGGTCTCCAAGTCCAGCTTTGTAAAACATCTTAGCACTTTTACCTGCCTTCCGAATTCTTAGACTTCAGCTGCTGTTCACCTTCACTTATCTGCTCTTCTAGCACCTTTATTCTGGCTTCTCTCTGTTCCGGAGTTTCTTGACCGAAGAGCTTGGTAGTCATTCCCTTCAAAGAGAATGTTCTCACCGTCTAAAAGGAATGAGAAATGAAGAATTAACCAAATGTGAGGCCAGCAGGTGGAATGCTGGTTAAGGCGGCTGACTCCCACATGGCCCACCATGGTTCAAGACCCGGACTTGGCAGCCTGAACATAACACTGGAGTATGTGTACATGCGTGCCCAAAACCCTGAGAGGAGAATGGAAGAGAAGGGACTGCAGCACGGCCACTACCTGGGGGGTGATTTCTTACTTTCTCTCTCACTGTGTCTCTCTCTAGTGAGCACATGTACCCCATGGAAAAAATCTCAAAAAAGAAACAACAAAGAATAAAACAAATGTAGCACATACGCCCAATAGAATATTACCCAGCCATAAAAAGAAAGGAAATTTTGAGTCATGCCTCAACAACGAATGAACCTGAGGACATTATGCTAAATGAAATAAGCCAGTCACAGAACATAAACGGAGCTGGCAGACGGTGTGGAGGTTAAGGCCGCTGGATCCCACCTGGCTGGCAGCACAGTTAGAGTCCCGGACTGGCAGCTTACAATTACACCAGGCTTGTGTGCGGATGTGCCCAAAATCCCACGAAGAGAATGGAGAAGGGATTGGGATGTGGCCACCCCTCTTTCTCCCTATGGTGAGTACACATTCCTATAGCAACCCCCCAAAAAGAAAGGACACACACTGTATGATTCCATGTGCACGAGATACCTGAGCAGCCAAAAACAGAGGCAGGCAGCAGAATGGTGGTGCCATGGAGAGGGTGGGCAGCTGTGTAATGGTGTGAAATGTAACAAGATGGACTGGGCATTTTCGACAAACTCACTTGGCCACAAGGGTATGGGAAACTGGGCTACAGACATGCCTCGCTTGTTTTTGAGGTTTTAACCCACTCTGTATTTGTTCTAGGTAGATGTTGTGAGCCTTCCCAGCTAACTGTCACCCCACCTTGTGATGTGTGTCTGTGATAAGAACATGCAAACTCTAAAGCTAACCATAGCTGCCATGCTTCCCTTTTCTTCCCAGATCCCGGGATGACACCTGACTGCACTTCGTGAGTCACCCAACCCCCTTCCTACAAGGCGTCTTGCTAGCTGACTTGTCCCAGTCCAAATCCCTGACAAACGACCCTGTAACCTCTTCTCCCAATCTCTTGGTTTTTTTTTTTTTTGGCCATAAAAATGACTCTGAATTCTGCCATTTCTGAGTGCTGACTACTGGTTATCAAGGACTATAATCCCCCAACTGTACACACTTAAAAGCTGACCTTGAATTAACTCTTTGCTAATTTGACAAGCTCTGGTCAGACCTTTTTATTTCAGGGTGACAATGGGTACAGAATTCTATAAACTGGTGGCACAACAGTGTGAATATATTTAATATAACTGAACTATGCACTTTAAAACGAGTCAGGATGGGGAACCAGCAGTTAGCGTAATGGCTATGTTGCTGGACTCCCACGTAGTGGACTGTGGTTCGCGCCCCAGACCTGGTGGCTTAAAACTCACGTGGGGCACGTGTGCGTGCGTGCCCAAGATCCCGAGAGGAGAATGGAGAAGGGATTGCGGCGTGACCATCCCCCCTGGGGGTGATTTCTCGCTTTCTGTCTCTATGTCTCTCTCTGTCTGGCTGGCGAGCGCAAGCGTCCTATAGCTAAAACCTCTCAAGAAAAAAAAAAAAAAACGAGTCAGGATGAAAGCATGTGTATTTTACCACAATAAAAAAGGGAAGTAGGAAACACTCGCCACTTTTCCTTTAGCTTACGTGCAGGCACCACTGGCCTCCTAATACTCACGGACTAGGCCTTGGGTTGTTTTTAAAACTCAGGGGAACTTCCCAGGCCAAATTCAGGGAGCTTGCTTCCTATATGTGAAGGGAAAAGTGTGTCCCTCAATAAATTCGAGAGGGTGAGGAGGCCCCACTGCGGCAGCACAGGCAGCAGCACACTGATACGCAGTTCTGGAAGCCACCTAGCTGACCACCAGATCAGATCCCAAGTCAACCGGAAATTTGCTGAGTGCATATGATCCTGACTAGCTGGGGGACTGAAGGAAGGGGACTGGGGTGTGATCAGATCCCACTGAAGCTGTCTTTCTCTCTCCTTCACATGTGCTCTCTTAAGCTCTCTGATGAAAGAAATGAAATTTAAAAAAAAAAAAATTTAAAGAGAGATTTTTGCTATGGAGAGACAGAGAGACAGAAAGTGAGAAATCACCACTCCACCACCCCTCACCCCCAGCAGGGAAGGCCACACCACAATCCCTTCTCCTCTATTCTCCTCTCGGGATTTTGGGCACACATGCACATGTTCCCAGCCTGAGTTTCAAGCTGCTGGGTCTAGGACTCGAACTGCTGTCGGCCACGTGGGAGTCCAGTTACATAACCACTATACAATCTGCTGGTCTTGAAATTAAAATTTAAAAAATGTAGAGCAGTGAGGCTTGAGGCCACCCTGCAACACTTAGGTCTAGGCATTCTGTTTGATCAGAAGCCCACATTTCAATGTGAGTTATACAGATTATTAAGGTGCTTCTTTGGTTTGGTTTATTTCCATAGTTCTCTGTTAATTTTATCTTAAGACCACAGAGAGGTCTTGTGACAAAAACCCTGGACCTTCCCAAGTGTTACTGCTGTGCCACCATCTGACTTCTGAATTTTATCAATTTTCTACATCAAAAAGTATTTTCTAAAACTATGACCATTAATATAAAGCAAGAAATAACTTACTTTTACCTGGAAATTTTCCATCTGATTAAGTTCATTTAGAATTGCACACCTCCCCTTTTTTTCAATTTGCCAAGAAGGTGCGTGTGCTCACCAGAGAGAGAGACTCAGAAAGGCAAAGGGAAAAACTACCCACAGCAGGGCACGATCACGGCATAATCCCTTCTCCATTTTTCTATCCTGTCAGGATTCTGGGTAGGCGCGCGCGCACACACACACACACACACACACACACACACTCACACACATCCAGTGTGTTTTTCAAGCCATAAGGGCCAGGACTGGCCATGTGGGACCTGACTCCCTTAACCACCAGGTCATATGGCAAGCCCGAATTTTCTCCATTCTGTTTTTTTCCTTGGATTTAACCAGAAACTGAATGATATAAATTACACAGAGCAGAATTGACAACATTTCTTAAAATACTGTATAGTACATCTTTCATATCTAAAAATAAAACTTGGCTTGCTTGTTTTTATATCAAGATAGCTACCAAAGAATTATAAGTTGCTCAGAAACTATCCCCTTGTACAGGTGCGGGTGTCCTGACGCTGTAATTGCGGCTGACTGCACAGAGGCTCGCGACAGCGACACTGAAGACGAAGCACTCACCCCGGTGGCCAGCTCCTCGCACTGCTGCTTCTTGGAGGCCAGGTCCTGAGCCGCCATCTCCAGATCATACTGCATGAGTTCGTGTTTCCTGCACACCGCCCTGGGAACGAAAACCAGTGCTGCATTTAACCCTGTGGCTTCTCTTCTCACATGTGAAGACACTTGTTCAAAGGTAGAGGGAGGACACTTCCGAGTCTCACCATGTCAGAACCTGGGTGCCCACAATGTTCAAGTATAAAATGTAGCAGAACCAAGGCACAGAAAGGTTATATATGCCTAACACCAAAAACCAGCTTTCTAGATAACAGCAACGTTTCTCAAAAGGCATACCATTATTACATGCATAGAAATGGTTTTTCTTCTGTTCATGACTGAGTGCACGCACGGCCCATGAGAGCAAGAAAGATGAGCACCCTCCACAGGGTCAGGTCACACTGCAATCGCCTCCTCTCCTCCAGCCCACGTGTGTGTCCAGCACGTTTCAGGCTAACTGGGCTAGGGATCTGACCCGTATTTGCCACGTGGGATCCAGTTCCCGGTGCAATGCATTATCACTGCTCCACAGAGCTGGTCCTCCCAATTTTTTAAAATAACTTAAGAATTAATGTAATCTTACATAGGAGCTGAGTACACTTCTTTTCAAGTTTATTATTTCTTCTGAGAGCGAGGGAAAACCGGCAGCATTACCGACAGGGGCTGACGCTGCCACCCACTTGCAATCAGTGCTGGACCACGGCACAAACGTGCCGGCATGCTTCGGTAGGTCGCCGGATGTGAACCCAGAACCTCCTCACACGGCAGCCTCGCAAAGCACTCTGCTTTTAACACATCCAGTCCCTGCAACTGAGTACTCTGAAAGGACATCTCAAAGTTTTCTTCTTTTGGGCAACACCCATTGGTTTTCATTATCATAAAAATAAACTATGCTGATTAAAAATTTTTTTTCTAAAAAACAAATGCAAAAAATAAAAAGTTTCACCAGCAAGTGGCGTGGTGGTTAAGGCGTTGGACACTCCCACATGGCCGACTGGGGTTCGAGTCCTGAATCTGGTGGCTTGCTTTCTCACTTCCTCTCTCTTTCACTCTCACCCTCTGTCTCTCTGATGAAACTAAAAAATAAATGAATAAATAAATAAAATAAAATACATAATAATTTTGGAAACCAGCAGTTAGCGTAATGGCTATGTCGCTGGACTCCCACGTAGTCGACCGCGGTTCGTGTCCCGGACCTGGTGGCTTAAAACTCACGCCGGGCGCGTGTGCGTGCGTGCCCAAGATCCTGAGAGGAGAATGGAGGAGAAGGGATTGCGGCGTGACCATCCCCCCTGGGGGGTGATTTCTCGCTTTCTGTCTCTATGTCTCTCTCTGTCTGGCGAGCGCACGCGCCCTACAGTGAAACTCTCTCCAAAAAATAAAAAAAATAAAAAAAAGTTTCAAAAACCCACTCTTTTCCCTAATCCCACTAGATGGACACAATCCATTACTTTATTTTCAGGTTTCTGCCATAGAGCACATGCACTTGCCAGAGAGAGAGAGAGAGAGTGATGTAGAGAGGAAAAGTGAGAACTCATCCCCTAGTGGGGATAGCCATGCCACCATGCCTTCTCTCGTCCAGGGATCCTGGGCACGCAAGCACGTGTGTCCAGCATGAGTTTCAACCTGCTGGGTCTGGGATTTGAACCATGGTTATGCATTTGGGAGTCCAATATCTTAACCACTGGCCCCCACAATCCACATTAATAGTATATACCCTGGGGCTGGAAGGTGGCATGGTGGTTAAGGGCACTGGACACCCACATGGCCAACTGCGGTTCGACTCTCAGACCTTTAAAAAAATAAATGAAAGTGCCATGAAATCCAGCCAGGGCAGTGCTGGTAGACATGGCTGCTCAGCAGGCTGAGGCCACATGAGAGGCCCGGGTTTAAGTCCCACCAACAGAGGCCAAGCATAGTGCTGCGTGCCTGTATCACCACTCAGCAGGCCCAGATGGGAGAACTGGGTGCGACATGATGAGACAGTCAAAAACAAAACAAAATAAAAAGTAACATGAAAACTGACCCAAATCCATCAATTCCAGGAAAATTAATCATTTTTCTAAATTAAACAGAAAAAGTACAGTAACTTCTTTTCTTTTATTATTTATTTGCCACAGGGCTTGTTAACTCAGGAGAGAGAGGCAGAGAAAAAAGAAGAAAGCATCCCCTTATACGGCATGGTCCTGCCAAAATCTCTTCTGCTTCATTTTGCTAACCTGTCACGATTAGGGGCACACACACACCAGAACTGGCATGCTTTTCAAGCCTCCAGGGCTGGAATTCAAACTGCATTGTGGCATGTGGGATCCGGCTTTAACTACTAGGCCATGGGGTCATTCCAGTAACACTTTCTTAATCAAAAAGGTATAACTAGCAGAGATTTCTATTTAGCCCTCTGGGAGATACCAAAAAACAGAAAATGAAGTCTTTGACATTAAGACATTTTATAAGCTTTTGAGAAGACAGTGCATGCAAATGTGGAACAAATTAGATTAAAATGGCAATATACAACCTAGTAACAGTGTTACAGATAGTCTGTATTTTGCTACCAAATTTCAAACTGAAAAAAGTATAAAGAACAATATACAGACCTGATGTCTGAGGTTGGAAGATTTTTATCAATATATTTTAAGCACAGATTTTGTTTTAAATCTTTACAACTAGCAGTCTGCAACACAGAGGGATACAGTAAAACTTCCTTTGGTATCTGAGGACATGAATTCACTTTAAAAACATCTATTCCTATTTCACAATAGCATATGAAGAAATTGGTGATCAGCCACAGGGCTTCATCTGGAACTTTCATTATACTTACCGCAATGCTTCGGCATAAAAAAGATATTCCTTTAACTGATCTGCATAGTGTTCTTCATCTTCCAAAATGTCATCAATAGAAGATGCATACCTGTATAAAAAGCATCACATGGAGTAACTTTCATTGGAACACGAAGTAATGATGTTCTTAAAAAGTGCTATAGTCAACTGCGATTCAGGTCCCAGACTTGGAGGCTTGAAAATCACACTAGGCACGTGTGTGTGCATGCCCAAAATCTAAGGAGGAAAACGGAGGAGAAGGGACTGTGGAATGCATATGAACCTGGGGGGTGACTGTTCTTTCCCTCTCACTCTCTCCCTGTCTTTCTTGGGCAAGCACAAACACCCTTAAAAAAGAAAAAAAGAAAAGAAAAGTGCTATTTACAACCACCAGCAGGTGGGGAGGTGGTGAAGGTGCTGGATTCCCACATAGCCAACCATGACTCAGGTCCTAATCCTGGCAGGTTGAAAAATGCTGGGGACTTGAGCATGCATGCCCCAAATCCCAAGAAGAGAAGGGACTGTGGCATGGCCATCCTGCAGAGGGAGGGGATGACTTGTCACTGCCCCTCTCTGTAGAGCACACAGGCCCTATGGCAAAACCCTAAAAAAAATGATCATTAGAATTTAGGAACAATTACAATGACGATTTTATCAAAATATTTTTGCAATGGCTTCAAAATAAAAAATGAGGGCCAGCAGGTGGTGTGGTGGTCAAGATACTGAACTCTCAAATGGCCAAATGCAGCTTGAGTCCCAGACCCAGAGGCATGAAAATCATGAATGTGCATGCATGCCCAAAATCCTTAGGAGAATAGAAGACAGGGGATGGGATTGTGGCATGGCCATCTCTGCTTAAGGGGTGATTTCTCACTTTCCCTCTCTCTCCATCTCTCTGGTGAGTACATGTACTTTATAGCATAAGTAAATAAATAAATAATAAAATAAAATTAAAATAAAATAAAAAATGGTCCTTAAGAATTGTAAGACTGTGGGGCCGGCAAGTGGCATGATGGTTAAGGGTGCTGGACTCCCACATGGCTGAATGCGGTTCGAGTCTCGGACCTGGTGGCTTGCTTTCTCTCTCTCTCTCGTTCTGTACCTCTCTGCTCAAAATTAAAATAAGTAAAAAATAAAGTTAAACAAAATAACTATTTAAAAAAAAAGAATTGTAAGACTGTAACAGCTTCTGTTTGAAAGTACTATAATTGCTACAAATCTATAGAAAGAATAAGAGTCTGGTTTAATTGGTACAACATGCTCTTCATGGCAATAATTTATTGTAATGCCTAAAGGCTACAAAAGGAAAAGTAGAGTGAATGAAATTTCAGAAAACATCAGAGCCTTAATTTATACTAGTCCCTAACAGGAACCTGTGCCTTGACTGGGACAACCCCATCACAGCTGTGCCATTCTTTCTGGAGAAGTGAAGGTGTGGGTACAGAAAGGCGAAGGCTCTCCACACCACTCCCCCACGTCCTCTGACACTGCTACAAAACTCCCCCATGCTTCCCGAGTCTTCCGTCTTCACTTTCTGATCCTTTGCCAACAATATGGAACCTGAATTTGATCAAAGTAAGGGTCCTGTGTTTTACTTTTCACTGTCAATTCCATAAGGACCTGGGCTGTGTATTATGTACTACTTCTGTGTAGTATCACAGGCATCCTTCTTTCAAACTGTTTGATCCCTTAGCAGGCAAATAAAAATATACACTTCAAGTTTCTAGGCCTGCTTCAGCTAGATAAGTAAAGAACTGAGGCTACAAAATTAAGTATAATAAATAAAACCACCTTAAGGTTCATTTGAAAAGCAATGTGATTACAGCATTTATAAAAGCAAAGCATGTGGTCTGTAATTATCAACTTACATCTATAGGAGTGAGGAATTTCTTCTCTGTTACTGCAAAAGCACTTTGCGAATCACTGTTAAGAAAATTTGGGGCCAGCAGGTGGCGTGGTGGTTAAGGGCGCTGAACTCCCACATGGTTGAATGCAGTTTGAGTCCTGAACCTGGCAGCTTGGTTTCTCACTTTCCCTTTCTCTCTTTCTCGCTCTGCCCCTCACTGGTCAAGTTAAAATAAGTAAGTAAATAAATAAAGTTAAATAAAATAATTCTAAAAAAATAAGAACAGAAAAATTTGGCTTCGGTTCATAACACTCTGATTCTGAAAGAGCTAATGTTAAAAAACGAAACAAAAAATGGTTGGTGTTTGCTTTCAGTCTGTGAAGCTTGCCTTGCCTCTTCATCTTGTGGTGTCATTTTCTGGTAGTAAACTATATAAAACACAGGCTGGCCCAGGGGTTGGTGGGTAAGACACCTGGATCCCACATGGCCAACTTCAAAGTTCAAGTCTTGGACCTAGCAGCTTGAGAAACACACCAGGCACATGTGTATGCATGCCCAAAATACTGAAAGAAGGGAGAAGTGGAGAAGAGATTACCACATAGCTGTACCCCCATGAGGGGTGCTGTCTCACCTCCCCACACTCTCCAGCAGGTGCACGCACCCTCTGGCAAATTAAAACTACACATACACACACAATATAAAGCTTGCCATCATAACTAACTGTAAGCATACAGTTCAGGCGTACTATGTCCATGTTGCTGTGCAACCATTATTGCCAACTATCTCCGGAACTTTGTCATCTCCTACTGAAGATGACACCCTCTCCTTCACCCCATTTAACATCAACTTCCCATTCCTTGCTCCCTCAGTCTTTTCTCTTTTTTTTTTTTTTTTGAGAGGTTTTTGCTATAGGGTGCGTGTGCTCACCAGCCAGACAGAGAGAGACATAGAGACAGAAAGCGAGAAATCACCCCCCAGGGGGGATGGTCATGCTGCAATCCCTTCTCCTCCATTCTCCTCTCGGGATCTTGGGCACACACGCACACACACCCGGCGTGAGTTTTAAGCCACCGGGTCCAGGACGCGAACCGCAGTCGACTACGTGGGAGTTCAGCGACATAGCCATTATGCTAACTGCTGGTTCCCAGTCTTTTCTCTTTTGATATACAAGAATTTTAAACTTTGATGAAGACCAACTCACCATTAAACATTTTTTTCTTTTCATGTCCTCTTTAAGAAGTCTTTGCTGGGAACCAGCAGTTAGCGTAATGGCTATGTCGCTGGACTCCCACGTAGTTGACCGCGGTTCGTGTCCCGGACCCGGTGGCTTAAAAAACTCACGCCGGGCGCGTGTGCATGCGTGCCCAAGATCCCGAGAGGAGAATGGAGGAGAAGGGATTGCGGCATGACCATCCCCCCTGGGGGGTGATTTCTCGCTTTCTGTCTCTATGTCTCTGTCTGTCTGGCGAGCGCACGCGCCCTACAGTGAAAATCTCTCAAAAAAAAAAAAGAAGTCTTTGCTTATCTAAAGGTTGGAATATTCTATGTTTCTATTAAAAGCTATCATTTTAGCTTTAAACTTATGTGTATGATCCAAATTAATTTAGTTTTTGTGGAAAGTGTGAGCTATGTCTAAAGGGTTACTTCTTTTCTGTGTAGTATCTGGTTATTCCAGTACCTGTTGCTGACATGAACTACAGAAGTGTGGGTCTATTTCTAGACTTTATTCTCTTCATGGATCTGTTTACCTTTATGCCAATACCTCATTAACTTTCCCCACTCCCAGAGGGCACATGTGCTCACCAGAGAGAAACAAAACTACCATTTTCCATCCTGCTGGGATTTGGGGAATGCATACACACACCAGAATTCATTTTTTTGAGCACCAATCTGATACCACATGTGGAAATGTTCACACTTCTATGTACAATATACATACAAAAAATATTTAATAAAGTTATTGTTAGGCCATGAATATGAAAGCATATATGAAACATAAAAAAGTTGTGTTTAGGCTTGGTTTACATTCCTAAGATATGTATGTAAATACTCCAAAACCAAAAAAAAGTCTGAAATCCAAAACATTTCTTGTCCCAAGTATTTCAATAAAGGGATACTCAGACTGTGTATGAATTAGACTGATTTTCAAATGTAAACTTGCATTCTGAGAAATATTAAGTCAGATCTATATACACAGAGCATAATATAAATGCCAATAACATTAAAAGAGTCACTAAATAATCACTGAATTGCATCTCAGGTTTTACAGCAAACTTTTTTTTTTTTTTTTAGAAAGATTTTTGCTGTAGGGCACATATGCTCACCAGAGAGAGAGATACAGAGAGCAAGAAATCACCCCCCAAGGGGATGGCCACACTGCAATCCCTTCTCCTTCATTCTCATATTTTGTGCATAAAAGCATGTGTACCCAGCGCGAGTTTCAAGCCGCTGGGTCTGGTCGAACCACAGTCAACTATGAGGGAGTCTAGCAATGTACCCATTACGCCATCTGCTGGTTTCCTCTTTTTAATTTTTAAAAATTTGCCAGAGAGCATGCGTGCTCACGAGAGCTACAGACAGAGAGCGAGAGAGCACCTCCGCCCATGAGGAATGGTCACACCGCAATCTCTTCTCCATCTCTCTCTTCTTTCAGTATTTCAGGCACATGTGTACACAGACCCAGCATGCTTTTCAAGCTGCCAGGGCCATGTAGTTAGCCGTGTGGATCCAGTTCTTAGTCACCAGGCCACAGGCTGGCCCTATATTAAGTTCCCTGTATACTTACACATCCATGTGATGGCCAGCACTCTGCAGTCCATCACCCATTTCTTTTTCTATGGCACTCCATTCACTAGGAAGAAAAAGATAAAACTGAACCCGTATCATAAATTAGAGATATGGAGTAAAATTTAATGGAATCTTTTACAAGTTTCTTTTCTAGCTAGGTCATAAGTAATGTGTAATACCCATATTTAGATTTCTTAAAATATAGATGTCAGCCCTACTCTTTTTTAAGAATTATTCTATTAAACTTCATTATTATTATTATTATTATTATTATTATTATTTATTTCATCACAGAGAGACAGAGAAAGAGAAAGAAAGAGGGAAAGTGAGAAAGCAAGAAAGCACGCCACCAGATCTGGGATTTGAACCACAGTTAGCCATGTGGGAGTTCAGTGTCTTTTTGTTTTGTTTTGGAGAGGTTTTTGCTATAGGGCACGTACGCTTGCCAGAAAGACAGACAGAAACAGAGAGACAGAAAGCAAGAAATCACTCCCCGGAGGGAAGGCCACGCTGCAATCCCTTCTCCTCCATTCTCCTCTCAGGATCTTGGGCATGCACGCACACATGCCTGGCATGAGTTTAAGCCACTGGGTCCAGGACTCGAACTACAAGTCAGCTACATGGGAGTTCAGCAACACAGCCATTATGCTAACTGCTGGTCCCGACACTTCTATTTTTAGTCAAAAGAGCTCTTCACCCCACTTACATGCATGTAACCAGAAAATAAAAAACACAGGATCATTAAACAAAGTACAGTCTTGTGTCACTGAGCTTTGCAGTACATAATGAGACACAATTTGGGGGAAGAAACTGCTTGTGCATTTTCCTAGAATTCCTTGAAAGGAACTGTAATACACTCTAAGACAGTCTTGTTGGTTGCTTCCACATGGACTCTCAATCTATTAATTAAGATGAATATTTTTAAATGTTCAATTAGCAGACTATAAATATATATTTTAGGCTATGAGCACAGGACAGCTTTCACTAGCTGCAAATGCACAGTTACTAACATTTAAAACTCTATCCCTCTCCATTCTAAGTCTTGTGCACAGAGTGAGCCTCACTTAGGAATTCAGTCCATTTCTAGACAGGCAGATCTGAAAGTTCCTGGCTGAGCCCAAACTAGTGAAAACAGACACAAGTTCCAGAAGCCCTTGTGGGAATGGCCCTTCAGCCTATCCAAAACTGGGTCAGAGGCCGTAACAGGGGAAGGAGGCTGCAAAAACCTCAAGAACTCAAGAGCACAAAATGAATGGCCCAACTTGTACACAAGACTCGGGACACGGCCACGCCCCCAATCTTCCCTGTCCCCTCCATGGGCCAGTTCCTGCACACTTTTTATGGTTGCAAGCTTTGCCGTTTCACCTGTCTTTCTTGGTCAATCATTTCCACCATAACTCAATCTTTTTTCTTAGTCTATTATCTCAAGCCAAACTCCACTTGAGCAATAAGTCATAATTTTACCAGAATTACCTGAAGAGTGTATTTAAATTTTAAATTAAGAAGCAAAGCTGATAAAACCAACTTTATGTTTTCCCCTCTCAAATTCCAAACCAAAGAACAAGACCAGATTAAGACTTTTTTTTTTCTCATTACATGGCCCCCAACTTTTGAGGTCAGCAGTACTCAAAAGAGAAAAGAACATCCCTTACCAGTTGGCATGGCTCAGCAATCCTTTCCTAATTCCTAACACCCTCTCCCACTCATAGAATAAAATAAACTAAAACAAAATTTAAAAATCTAAACTGTCGGGGAACCAGCAGTTGGCGTAATGGCTATGTTGCTGGACTCCCACGTAGTCGACCGCAGTTCACATCCTTGACCCAGTGGCTTAAACTCACGCTGGGCGTGTGTGCGTGCGTGCCCGAGATCCTGAGAGGAGAATGGAGGAGAAGGGATTGCGGCATGGCCATTCCCCCTGGGGGGCGATTTCTTGCTTTCTGTCTCTCTGTCTGTCTGGCGAGCGCACGCGCCCTATAGCAAAAACCTCTCAAAAAAAAAAAAAAAAAAAGAATATTTTTTAAAATACAGTATAACAATGACTTACGCAGCATTTACAGTGTACTGGGTATTATAAATAATCTAGAGATGATTTACCCAACAGATAAAATGTTATTTCCCATGGAATCTTCTTACATATTTTGTCAAGAAAGTAGAAGCCCCTACCCCCTGGTTCAATCAGAGTAGTTTTACTTTTATGTGATCAATATATTAAACATACTTAATGCTTTTTATTTTAAAAAAAGACTTTAATTAAAGAAAAAGGGGGGAGGCAGCAGGTGGTACGGTGGTTAGAAGAGCTGGACTCCCACATGGCTGACTGGTTCGAGTCCCAGACCTAATGGCTTACTTTCCCATTCTCTCTCTCTCTCTCTCTCTCGTGAGCATACGTGCCCTACAACAAATTAAAAGAATAACAAATAAAATTAAATAAATCTTTTTTTTAAAAAAGTCTTTAAAATGAAAAGCAGATACCTGAAAGCTTGAAAATTACTACCATGGGACATCATTTTTAAAAAGTAATCTTTTATTCTCCAAATTCATAAGTTTTTTGTTTTTATGTTTATGTCTCCATTTCTTCCATAACTCAGCAAGAGAGAAGGTGTGCACCGTACAAGGTTCTAATACCACCACCCTCCCTCCAGCCGTCAGCCACCCTCATAGCAGGAGCACATCTGTGGAGGACCCAGGGAGGCCCCTGGACTAGGACCAGAACTGTTCCATGGAGATTTGCCTAACACAACATTGCTCTTACCGCTGCACCATCTCTGGCCCCAGATACATAAATTTTTAAGAATTATTATTTTAAGGCAAGAACTATTTTCAAAGTCTGTATAATACTTACCTGAAGACTCGTCCATAATTCCCATGTACTTTATATACACCGTAGAGTCGATCTGCTACTCTCTGAAATAAATATTTAGCAAAAAATGCTGTTAGGTCAGAATTACATACTGACTACTTTTTTTTTTCCCCTTAAGATTTCATCTCATTAAAAAAAGAAAATTGGGCCAGCTGGGTCCCACATGACTGACTGCACAGCTTGCGTTCCAGACCTGGCTGCTTGAGAAACACGCCAGGTACATGCATGTGTGCCCAAAATCCCACTGCAGCATGGCCTCCCTCCCTGGGGAGTGCTTTCACACCTTTTCTCTTTCTCACTCTCCAGGAAGCATATATGCCCTGTGGCAAAACAAAACAAAACAATAAAAGAAAACCGTGTCCAGTAGAATAAACTTAGAAAATGTGGGGGAAAATATCTTCAGAACCCCATCGCACACATACACACACACACACACAACTAGCCCTGTCTTGCCATTATTTATCTTATATTACACATCTATATTTTTTCTTAAATCCTTTTCTTTTTTTTTTTTTTTTTTACTGCCAGAGTGCACACACACTCACCAAAGACAGAGAGAGCAGGTACTCCCCAACAGGGCATGGTAAGGTCCACAATCCCTTTCCTTCATTTCTCTGTCCTGTCAGGATCTGGGGCACTCACACACACATGGAGTATTTTCTAAGCACCCGTGGATGGGACTCAAACTGTGTTTGGCCATGTGGGATCAGTTTTCTATGTACAGTGCTTACTTGCTGCACTATGGGGCTGGACTCGATGCTTCTAGAAAATACACAGTTGTACAATGTTTGTGCTATGGTTTTTAAAGTCTGTTTATTTATTTCTTCCGTGAGAAAGAGGCAAACAGAGAGACAGACAGAGAAAGAGGCACTATAAAAGGGTCTTGATGCTGCAACCCACCACCAGCCTCGGACAGCCCAGGTTAAAGTGACATGTGCACTTGCACCTGCAGCCTGTGTGTAGAGTGGCTGAGAGGAGAACCTGGGACCTCCCCACGTTGGTCCAGTTGTGTTACCACTGCATCACTGCCCAGCCCCGCTATGCTTTTTTATTTCCTTAGTTTGCTATAGGGAAAGTGCACTTGATGGAGAGAGCCTGAAAGAAAAGAGAGAGGGAGAAGAAGGGGGGATATCCACACCACAATCCCTTCTCCTTCATTCTTCTCTCAGGAGTCAGGGCACACATGCACACGCACCTGGCGTGTTTCTCTAGCTCCCAGATCTGAGACTCAACCACACAGGTGGCCATGTGGGATCCAGCCACCTTAACTACCATGCTACCAGCTGGCCCTAATGTATTTTTTTTAAGAGAGATTTTTGCTATAGGGCACGTGTACTTGCCACAGAGACAGAGAGACAGAAAGCGAGAAATCACCCCCCCCCCCAGAGGGATGGCCACACCACAACCCCTTCTCCTCCAATCTTTTCTTGGGATTTTAGGCATGCACACATATGCATCTGCTGTGAGTTTTAAGCTATCAGGTCTGAGACTCAAACCGCAGTCAACTACGTGGGAGTCTAGTGACACAGCCGCTATGCCATCTGCTGGTCCCTTAATTACTGTTTTTAAACTTCCTATAGCAAAATATTTTTATCCACCAGGTTAAAATTACCATTTTTTTTTTTTTTGGAGAGGTTTTTGCTATAGGGTGGTGTGCTCTCGCCAGAAAGACAGAGATAGAGAGAGATAGCAAGAAATCACTCCTTGGGGACATGGCCACACTGCAATCCCTTCTCCTCCATTCTCCTCTCGGGATCTTGGGCACACACATACACACGCGCCTAGCGTGAGTTTGAGCCATTGGGTCCAGGACTCGAACCGCGGTCGGCTACATGGGAGTTCAGTGACACAGTCATTACGCTAACTGGTGGTCCCACCTTTATTTTAAAAAAAAAATTGTTTATGTAATTTTATTCTTTTTTTTTTTTTTTTGAAGTTGACCAGAGAGAGAAGGAAAGTGAGAAAGCAAGCTGCCAGGTCCAGGACTTGAACCACAGTCAGCCATGTGGGAGTCCAGCTGCCTTAACCACCACACCACCTCCTGACCCCAAAATTACCTTTAATAAATACTATTTTTAAGTAGCCACATAAAATTCCAACAATTAATGTAAACTGTATTAACATTCCTTGTTGGATAACCTTGCTGGATATTTAGTTATTCCTAATTTTTCAGAATTAGATATTGTAATAAACATCTCTGACACTAAGGGTTTTTTCTTTCAGGTTGTTTCCTTATGAAAACGTCTCCAAAGTGGAGTTTACCAGAGGAAAGGATATGAACATTTTCATTTCCACTGATATTTAATTAATGTACATATTGTACACACACACACACATACACATTAATTTATACATAAATGCTGAACACACGCGATATGGTTCTGTGCTACTATGACAACACAAAACAGCGTCGGCCCAGCCTCTGCTGACCTCAGCCGAGCCCCAACACACAGGCGTGTGCCCAGGACACTGGCAGGCTGGGAAGGGGAGGGGACTGTGGTGTGACTGGGCCTTGTGGAGGCTGCTTCTCGCTTTCTCTTGTGCGTACACACACTCTCTCATGAGCTTTAAATTAAAATTTAAAAAGAGAACACCTTCTTACCAACACACATATTGATACTTCAGTAACAACAGAATTTATACCACTGAGATGAGCATTATCTAGTCATTCACATGAGTTTTTCAAAAAAAAAAAAAGAAACACTACATATGATAATTAATTTGCTTCTCTTTCCCCATAAGGTTCCAGACATGAACTGGAAGGCCAAAAGCTAACCGTACGTAAAACCCTATACACATTTCTGGTATACTGTTCCTTTTTTTTTTTTTAAAGAATTATTTTTATTTAACTTTATATACCATTATTATTTGTTTTAATTTGACCAGAGAAATACAGAGAGAGAGACAGACAGAAAGTGAGAAAGCAAGTTGCCAGGTCCAAGACTCGAACTGTAGTCAGCCATGTGGGAGTCCAGCGTCTTTAACCACCATGCCACCTGCTGGCCCCCTAGTATGATGTTTCTAAATGTACATTCTGAGGATAAATTACCTCCCTGAACACTTACTCAAACAGGAGTAATTTGAAGAATTAAGCATTAACAAAGAAATCATAACCCTGTGATGGCTTCAGTTAAAAGTGAAAGAGCCACCATCAGAAATACTCAGAGCAGTGTAAGAGGATCATGAAACGTTTCCTGTCGCTCCTCGGCCTGCTTAGGGGGAACACACACTCTAGTACTAAGCAGGGGTCAGTACAAGACAGGGCTGCTGCCTGTTTTGTGAGTACATCTTGTTAAACAGTCAGGCTCACTCCTGTCAGTATTGTCTATGCCTGCATTCACAGCAGAGCCGACCAGATGGGACAGGAACTATCTGGCCACAAATTTGAAAATACTTATTTTCTGGCCTTCGAAAGAAGCTTGTGAACCCTGTACTGGACTCAACTCTCAGGACAAAGCTCAAAGTCTTTATTCCACTGGAAACCGTTCAGGATTTCCCCCAGACCTCCAAACTAACTTAGGATATAATTTCATATTCATTTTTAGCTTTTTATATAAAAAGTGTTTTTTTTTAATGTGGTTCTATTAAGTATGGATGAAAGAACGAAATTAATAGGTATTTTTGTTGTTTTTTTGCAGGACTTTTCAGGTCACATGTGGATCATGACTGCTAAAGAGAGAGATGGTGTACACTGGAGAACATCTTCTTTTTTTTCTTTCTTTTTTTTTTTTTGGAGAAATTTTCACTGTAGGGCGCGTGCGCTCGCCAGACAGACAGAGAGAGACATAGAGACAGAAAGCAAGAAATCACCCCCCAGGGGGGATGGTCACGCCGCAATCCCTTCTCCTCCATTCTCCTCTCGGGATCTTGGGCACGCACGCACACGCGCCCGGCATGAGTTTTTTAAGCCACCGGGTCCGGGACACGAACCACGGTCAACTACGTGGGAGTCCAGCGACATAGCCATTACGCTAACTGCTGGTTCCCACTGGAGAACATCTTAAGGAGAAGCATTCCAGGGACTGTATGAGGGGCCAGCAGATGGCATGGAGGTTAGGGTGACTGGGTCCCACGTGGCTGACTGTGCAGTTCAAGACTGCAGTGATTTTGGACCCAGTGACTTCGGAAACCCCTGAGGTGTGTATGTGTGCATGCCCAATCCTGAGAGAAGAATGGAAGAGAAGGGACTGTGCTGTGGCCATTCCCCCTGGAAGTGCTTTTTCTCTCTCTCTGTCTTCAGCAAGCACATGCCCTACAACAACAACAAGATTGAAGAATACCTGATGGAAAATGTCATTCTAGACTACTAATTTTTCTAGATCCCTGCTCTTTTGGGTATCAAACCTCCTTCCAAAAAGCTGAATAATTTATTATTCATTTAAGATAGCAAGTATAGGGACAAGCAGTTAGTGTAATGGCTATGTCGCTGGACTCCCATGTAGTCGACCATGGTTCAAGTCCTGGACCCAGTGGCTTAAAACTCACGCCGGGTGTGTGTGTGTGTGTGTGTGTGCGTGCCCAAGATACCGAGAGGAGAATGGAGGAGGAAGGATTGTGGTATGGCCATCTCCCCCGGGGGGTGATTTCTTGCTTTCTGTCTCTCTGTCTGTCTTTCTGGCAAGCTCACATGCCCTTTAGCAAAGACCTCTCAAAAAATAAAAAAGGTAGCAAATATAGAATATATAGAAAGAACTTGTTAAATAAACACTTAAGAACAAAAACAAGAAGGAATGTAAGTCCACAATGTAGATCCAAAACAAATATTAAAAACATTTTTGTGACTCCCAGGTACTCAAAGTTTGTTTCTTTAAAGTACCTCACACCAGGTGTCTGTACAAAAGGAGCTTTTACTACAGTCGTCAGAGCCTGTGAAATACACTGGGCCACCGAGTCTGATCAACAGAGACAAGAGTCTTCATATCCTAACGAGGTGAGCAAGCATGCACGGTGAGGAGCTCTTCTACTCTGAACTGAGCAGGAGGGGCCCCCAGTGCTTCTGCTGTGAACTCTTCAAAGATGAAATAAATTGCTCCCACCAACTAAGACATGAAGTGCCTGTATTTGGACCCTTAGGCACTGAGAAAGAAGAAACTGAGAAAAACTATAAACTACAGACAAAAATCTTACCATTTCTAGAGAAAATGAAAGGCAAAAATGGCACAGAAGTATTAGGTCATCAGGAAAGTCAGGAGTTACTTTCCTGTTTTTCTATGCAAAAATGTGTCATGACTTTCCCAACAACCCAATAAAACATGAATGATTACAACTTGAAGCCATACTGACACAATGATTGTTGGTAACTAAGAATAGTGGGGCCAGGAACCAGCAGTTAGTGTAATGGCTATGTCGGTGGACTCCTACGTAGTCGACCGCGGTTCGTGTTCCAGACCCAGTGGCTTAAAACTCATGCCGGGCGCGTGTGCGTGCGTGCCCAACATCCCGAGAGGAGAATGGAGGAGAAGGGATTGTGGCGTGACCCACCCCCCTGGGGGGTGATTCTTGCTTTCTGTCTCTATGTCTCTCTCTGTCTGGCGAGCGCATGTGCCCTATAGCGAAAATCTCTCCAAAAAAAAAAAAAAAAGAGGGGTGCCAAGGAAAGAGACCTGTACCCATTGCCTTAGTCCAGACTGTTCATCAATTTAATTTCTGCTAAAAACCCTTTTGAATTGACAGGGAAGGAATGACACCTAGCAAGTTGACAGGAAAAACTGACAGGGAAGGAAAGACACCTAGTAAGTTCTATGATGGAAATCTGACGATCAAATCAGATTATCTTTCCCAGCTCCCAATTGCTTTGAATCACCTCTGTCCTCACTGAGGTGACAGTAAAGTGATGAACTGCTGTAAATGGCAAGGCTGTGTGACATGCTATTGCATCATGTTATTTAAAATCTGGACACACAGAGTTCATTTGTTTTTAAGAGAGATTTTTGCTATGGGACGTGTGCGATTGCCAGAGAGACAGAGACAGAAACCGAGAAATCACTCCCCTGGGAGGATACCCACACTGTAGCCCCTTCTCCTCCATTCTCCTCCTGGGACCTTGGGCACGCATGCATGCCCCCTCGGCATGATTTTAAGCCACTGGGTCCAGACCTCAAGCCACAGTCAACTACATGGGAGTCCAGCGACGTAACTGTTATGCCATCTGCTGGTCCCCCTAATTGGGTTTTTGGCTTGAATCTCTAAGGAATCAATACTATAAGACTTATAGTATCTTATAATAGCTGATTCTCCTAAGGAAGAATAAGACTGAAGACTCCTGATACTTTCTACCAAAATCGTTTCTGAAGGAGCTGTCTATAATCCTTTATACTGCCAGCATCACAAAAAGATTCAGAGACACTAGATATTAGCATCTTCATAAGTGACTATAAATGAAATGTTAAATATATCAACAGTTACAATTTGCATTTTTAGAGTATCAGCAGTTAACCAAAAGAAGCCAGATTCCACAAGGTACCCAGGCCATAACCGACCAGCTTGAACCCCTGGCCCAGTCAGCCTAAAACGTGCAGGGCATGGCCACGAAAGCCCACACCCCGTGGGCGGGAGACTGGAGGAGTGGACATCATGAGCAGACCCTGTGGCAGCGGCTCATTCTCTCTTCAGCTCACATGTGTGTGCACATACTCTATTGTAAATAAATGAGAAAAATTATTTTAAAAAGACAGAACTGAAGGATAAGAGAAAACAGGCTAAGAAAGGATTTGGAAGGTGAGGGGTAGAAGAAGAACAACAGCACAGTGATGGCGAGAAGCAAATAAAAGTCCTAGAGCAGAAACAAGCTTGGTGTGGCTGAGAACAGGCAGAAGGATAACAGGGCTAAAATCGGAGTGAGCAGAGTAAAAAAAGAATATAAAAAGAGTTGTGTGGGAGAACCTTAAAAGTTTTCTCTAACATTATGACTTGTCATAATTTTTAAAGGTTATTTAAATATTAATCACATCTTAAAGTGTACTTTCAGCAGAAATGCAGATATAATCACTATCACACCTTACCTTGTGGAAATTTTATTTGCTTTATGAAAAAAACATCCTATACCTTCTTTCAGTCTAATGATCTGTAGCACAGAGCACAATGACAAAACTTTTCCTTCCTTTAGGTATCCCTTACACCTATTTCTCATGCTTCATAAAGATTTTCTGAGTGTTAACTGCACAATTTGTTCAATTCACTACTCTCTCTGAGATTCCTGATAATCCGATTTGGGCTGATATTTCTCTGCACCTCCTACAAGCAGTGGGCCATGTGGGAGTCCAGCACCCTCAACCACCATGCCACCCGCTGGCCCCTCTATCTGATTCTTCACTAGAAATTCTCAGACACCTCTTCTGTTCCTAAAAACTATCTTATAATTATTTAAGAATTCCATGTTTTGTTTTTTTTTTTTTTGAATGGTTAGTAGATTGGGTCAGTATGAAAATTTTCAGGATATTTTTTTCTTTATTCTATTTTTCTATACTATTTGGAAATTTTTTGAACATACATAAAATATAAAACAGAAGGTTATATCTAATTTCCACAAAGAAAAGAAGAACATGACTCCATTTCCCAATACCCAGTTTCAAACATTATGATATGACCAATTGAGTTTATCTAAAACTATACCCACTCTTTACTCCTCATCAGTGGACTCTTAGAATAAAGCCAATCCCAGACAATGTATTTCATTTCAGGATTCCAGTAAACCGAAGTTGTTATCCTTGACCTGGTAACTCAGTCTCTTTCAAAGCCTTTAGTACTGGCAAGTTGCAAAGTTCCCTCTTGGTTACCCCAAAGATCAGAGTGGATGATGCAAGATTTTTCAGGTACATTTTTTTTGGTGGGGGATAGGTTTTTGCTATAGAGCGCATGCGCTTGCTAGAAAGACAGAGAGAGACGTAGAGACAGAAAGCGAGAAATCACCCCCCAGGGGGGATGGCCACGCCGCAATCCCTTCTCCTCCGCTCTCCTCTTGGGATCTTGGGCACGCACGCACATGTGCCCGGTGTCAGTTTAAGCCACCGGGTCCGGGTCTTAAACTGCAGTTGACTACATGGGAGTCCGGCAACATAGCCATTACGCCAACTACTGGTCCCTAGATACATTTATTTACTAAAAAGTTTTTTTTAATGTCTATTACAGTCAAACACATATGGCTAAGTATGATGATCATTCAATTTCTGGTTCCTTCTGTCATGTAGACTATTACTGCAAATAAACGTATTTAATAGAGTTTAAGAGCACAGATACAGGATGGCCTAACATCCATAAACTATTTCACGAACTTTATATGCAGATCTAAAATTCTATCCTTACTTACATTCTAACACTGAAATGTCAAGTCTTTTGACAAAATGTAACAAAGAAAACCACTATACTATTATAAACCACAGAAGAACGAACGGACCAAAATTCATTTCTTTTTTAAAAAAAATGCAGTTCGGATAACAAACATACTAAGTGTGAATGTAAAAATCAGTTGTTCACCATAAATATGATCCACTACTTAAAAACGTCTTGATTAAAGGACAAGCACTAGTTACAAATGTGTGTTAAAACCTCGCGGGACCACTTACGGCTCTGACGCGGAGAAGATGTGCGATGACGGCCTGCAGCTCATCGCTGTAGTGCTTCAGTTCAGTAAATCTCCTGGAACAGGAAACAGGTCAAATATCATTTTTCTCATGAAAACAAGCAGTCAAAAACTGGAAGACAAAACAGTAGCTCCTGAGAATAATGAAACCAATTCTCTTTAACCACATGCTGTACACACCAATATAAATTCAAAAAATTCTAAAGTAAAATGTTACTTTCTTCCAAAATTTTGAAAACCAAGGAAAAGATAACATACTTCATACGTTACATTATGGGACTGAGATAAATTTATTGGCATGAAAAATCACCTTGAATGTAAAAACAGAAAAAATTCATGTCACTCAAAAAATCTTACAGCGTAACCATGAATTCATGCTCTCTAATCTCAATGTCAATGCTGCACGGTAATTTTTGTTTCCCTAGCTATTAAGTGTATTCTCTGTAAAGATCTGAAACTTCTGATATACCACCAGTCACTCTCTAAAACAACTAAGTTTCACATCATCGAAAAGGAGTTATCCCTACCTCCACTCAATGTTCTAGATTAAATGTTCTAGAGCCTTCCGATCAATGTCCTAGACCGGGCAAATTCATATTCTAAACCAATATTCTAAATCCTTCCCTACTCAAATTTCCTAACTTCCTTTCTCTACAAATTCCTTCTCATTAGCATACTAATTTGCTCAGGTCTCTCCTAAATTAAAATTATACAAACACTCCCTTGACAATGCACCCAACTATTAAAGTCCTTTGAAGATTCACACCTTTCATTAGACAGTCTTTCATAAAGCATTATCTCCCCGGAAAAACCACTTCCTTCCTTCCTGTTCGGCTTATTAGATTGCAGCGTCTTCCTTCAGCATTACAGTGAACAAACATTGCTGACAAAAATTAACTAAAATTCAATGACAGTTTCAGTCTTATCTACGCGCCCTCCTGGTAATGCAGCAGCTGCCATCACCCTCTTCAACAACGTGTCCCTTCTTACATCAGTGTTATTTTCTCATGGCTTTCCTTTTATTCTCAGGTTAGTTCTTAACTTTCTTTTGCAGTATTCATTTCTGTTTTTTTGTTGTTGTTTTGTTTGTTTGTTTGCTTGTTTTTTAATCTGCTAGAAGGCACGTGCGAACACCAGAGAGAAAGGAGAGGGAGGAAGCACTTCTCTCTATGGGGTGTCACACCACAATCCCATCCTGTCAGGATTTGTGTGCGAACACCAGAGAGAAGGGAGAGGGAGGAAGCACTTCTCTCTATGGAGTGTGGTCACACCACAATCCCATCCTGTCAGGATTTGGGGGCATGCAACACACATGCCCCGCATGTTTTCTGGGTTACTTGGACAGAATTCAAAATGTGTAGCTGGCCATGTGGGATCTGGCTCCCTTAATCACTAGGCCATGGGGCTGGCCCAGAACTCCCTTCCTTCCTTCACTCATTTCTTCTATCTCAGACTTTAGTGTGCAATAAATTCCTGATATGTTTGTGATAAACAGTGAGGGTCTCTCAATAAGAGGGAGTTGTGAAAACCACAACTGTACACAGAGGCTCTAATGAGACTCAGAAATCTGAATTTATAACATGCTTACCCAAGGATTCAGATGCTGGTAATCCTTAGGTTACAGTGCGCAAAACATCATTAGGGCACTGGTATTTTTCAGAGTTCAGTCCTAGGTTCCCAGTCATCTTCCAATCAATCTTTCAATATGCGTTTCTTATGTGACTTGTCATTCACAAGCTTCATAATCTACGTGCTGCTGAATTCCAAATCTCTTCCTCCTGCATACATTCTCTCCTAACTTCCAGCTCTAGAAAGCAAACTGATTAGCAGACACTGTACTTGCTTGCATATCCAAAGTGCAATCTCTCAAATCTCTTTCCTCTGTGCTGATTTCTCACATGGAATTTTTTATTGTCCTCTTGTCTGGCCTCCTGTTCATTCCCTAACACCCTATTCTATTGCCCACTCTGCTTGGATAATTGTCCTAAAGCCAAAATCTACACTACTTCTCTGCTTTTAAGCAGGTTTCTTTCTGCCGCAAACTTGCACTGATCCTAAGGCAGTCCAAACTCCTTGCAATACTTTTCACAGACTCCACGTAACAGTGATTCACTTAAATAAAGAGGCAACTGGCAAGGTTAACGGTATTAGACCATCAGACAAAATACTTTATCTTATTTCTATTCCCTAAACACTCCTATTACTACTGCAGGCTCTTTGCTTTCCTTTACTCTCCATATTCCACTTTTACTCATCGCCTCTTCTAACTAAGCCTGCATAGGTGCATCTCCTAATCAAATCTCATTAATTACTCAAGGCTTAGCTTGAAACAACCACTGTTGGGACCAGCAGTTAACGTAATGGCTATGCCACTGAACTCCCATGCAGCCGACGAGTCCCTGACTTAAACTTGCTTACTCGCACTTAAACTCACACCGGACACGTGTGCATACATGTCCAAGATCCCGAGAGGAGAATGGAGGAGAAGGGATTGCGGCGTGGCCATCCCTCCCCGGAGGTGATTTCTTGCTTTCTATCTCTCCGTCTATCTCTGTCTTTCTGGCGAGTGCACATGCCCTATAGCAAAAACCTCTCTAAAAAAAAAAAAGAAATAACCTCTGTCAAGGCTTATTCTGAATTCCTCTTTCTAATCCCGAGGCTCAATGGCTCAAACACTGTTAGGGTCAAGTGGTCACTTCATGCTGCTTTCGTACTTTCACATGACAGCTTTAGTTTTCTCTACCCTATTACTCTGGAAGTCGCTCACGCTGTAAGATTCTCCTATGCTTCTTTACAACTGTACAGCATGACTTAAGATAAAGCCCCGAAAGAAAAGAAACTTAATGAATTCTGGTAGGCTGTTTTTTAAAATAATAAATAATACATCTGTCTACCTCCTACCCTCCCCTTCTTCCAGTCTCTATGCTTCCAGTTGCTGCCTCTCTGCCAATCTATGGGAATTCTTTAATACTGGTCTCTTGAGTTTCTTGAAGAAAACTCACTAAATAAATTTCTTCTGTCTATACTTCCTGCCCCCAAACTCAGAAGGACGTGATAGAACCTGATAGTTTAGAAACTCAAGGAATAACCTGAGCAAATCATAATCTTAATTATCGGACTACGTGACCTGGCTTTCTTTTAAAAGAAGAAAGCTATGATTTTATACATGACCTAACTAAAGTCATACAGATTTTTTAAAACAAATTTTTAGCCAAGAAAAACTGATAACTATAGATGAGACTTTTACTGTGTGGGGCAGCACAGGATATGAGTGTTTAATACTGTTTATTTCTACTACAAACAGCAGATTTAACGATAACCATGCAAATAACATGTTACTATATAATCTGGTCAGCCTGACACCTGGACTAGGTTTTAGTAGGGCTAACATATCTGCAATAACATAAGGAACTAAATACTCAGAGATATCTCGTGCACATATCTTCAAGAAAAATGTACAATTAATGCAGTGCAAAAAAGGCATGTATAGAACATGGAAGGCCACACAAAAGTGGAGGATTACAGGTCCTCCTCCTCACTGCTCCTAACTGTCTAGTTTGGGGAAACATATGTGTGTGTGAAGTAAGTAGTAAAAGAAACATTTTGGTAATCCCAAAATTGGAAATAATCTTTCTAGTTCTTTGGATTACAGGCAAGAATAGAATAAAACTATTTTAGTGATGTAAACTTTCTTTTTTTAATATGCTAGAAGGCATGTGAACTTGCCAGAGACAGAGAGGCAAAGAGAGAGAGGGAAAGGGAGACGCCTCTGCCATGGGGAACGGTCATGCTACAATCCCTTCTCCTCTGTCTTTCTCTTTCAGGATTTTAGGCAAGCACACACAACACACCTGGTGTGTTTCTCAAGCTTCCAGGTCCAAGACTCAAAGCGGACAGTCGGCCATGTGGGATCCAACTGCCTTAACCACCAAGCCACTGGCTGGCCCAGATGTAAACTATTTTAATAACGACATGAATAAAAATCTACTTGGCCAGCTAGACCTAGAACAGAGACTCTACATATTAAGAATCTGGTATAGCAATAACCAATGTAGACAATTCTCTTAACCAGAATTTAAAGCGAACAAGTGTATTACTAATTATACAATTAAGTAAGAACACAAAGCAAAAGATTGCCTTGGTAATATTATTAGCATATTTAAAAGTCTATATAGAATGTAAATAAAATTTAGAATTCAGAAAGCCTAGTTAGGTCACAAACAGGAAGAAAAACATTTCATCAATGAAATATATTCATTATATTGAAATATATTCAATTTTAAAAATATTGACAAAATATTAACATTCAACTATTCATTTAAAATAACAGTAAGCACATAATCCTCTAATGAATGAACATCTGCCAATGTTGAAAACTTAGCTTAAGTTTTCCAAAGCTTTGAGGGTGATTTATAATTTTAGTTCTTAATCTAGAGAACACCTTACAGAATACCTTTCTGTATATCATTACAGAAATTATAAAAACCTCGAAGGAACCTTGAACACACGTAACTAAGTGAAAGAAGCTACTCTGAAAGGCTATATACTGTACGGCAAACTATGAAGACAATAAAAACACTATGAGTTGCCAGGGACAGGACGTAGGAAGGGAGGAACAGGGAGAGCACAGAGTATTTTCAAGACAGTAAGCTAGCTATTCTGTATGATATCAGAACAGTGGATACATATGATCCATTTGTCCAAACCCATAGGATGTCCAACACCAAAGTAAACCCTCATGTAAATGATGTATTTTGGGTGGTAATGCTGTGTCACTGTAAGTTCACTGACAGTAACAAATATAACACTTTGGTGTGGTATGTTGATAGTAGGGAAGGCTGTGTGAGTGCAGAGACAGAGTATATATGGGAATTCTCTATACTGTCCATTCAATCGTGCTGTGAACCTAAAACTGCTCTGAAAATAGTCCTCTCTGGGTCAGCCCTGTGACACAGCAGTTAAGTGTTCTGCAGAGGAAGCCAAATCCCACATGGACGACTGGGGTTCAAATTCCAGCCCGGCAGCAACATGTCAAACACACATGGATCCTGCCTGGATAGAGAGTGGAAGAAGGACTGTGGCATGACCAGGCCCCATTGAGGAGTGCTTTCTCTCTTTCACATGTGCATGCACATGTATGCACTCTGTCGTGAATAAAGAAGGGAGGATCTAAAATGAAAACAAAAACCTCGGTGATTACCATCACAACTTCCAAATTACCAAAACTTTACAATATGCATTTATAGTTTAGATTCAAAATTTGTAAGTCAGAGACATTACTGTTAACATGGTATTGTTTATTAGGTCAGGCAAGACAGGTCATTGGAATATGCAAACTTACAATATGTATTTATAGTTTAGATTCAAAATTTATATTATAAGCCAGAGACATTACTGTTAACATGGTATTGTTTATTAGGTCAGGCAAGACAGGTCATTGGAATATGCAAACTTGGCTTTTGTCTCACAAATATACGATACCTAGAAGCTAACACTGAACACTCATTAGAAAATACCAATAGTCCTCATAAATGTGGTCCCCAAGGTAGAAAAGTCTCATCTGCCTAGAAACGTGTAAAAGCACATTTCTAACTGAAAAACTCTTCTAGCTGGACCAAACTGTCAGGTAAAGGTCCATATGATGAAGAGCCTGATTAACCCACCAAACTTAGAGAATGAACGAAACCGAAATTGTAAAAGCCCAGGTCCCTTCCTAAGGAAAGACACTGCTGATCCAATGGCTTCCTTTAATACAGAAATCCTCTCACAAACAGCAAACTGGCACTAATCAAGTCCTTGCCATGTTAATATATCTCTATGAAATTATTTCACTGGTATGCATTTACCTATCAAGTTTTCATGGTATACAAAGTAGGCAGTATTCTATTATTAAATATATAATTTTCTTGAGCTGTGTGTATTTTACAGGCAAAGTCAAATGAGCAAAACTACAGAAAATTAAAATTACTTTTCTCATTTTCTAAGACCTTCAACAACCTTTAATAAATCCTTCAAGGAAAGGGCAGCAGTTTAATTTTCTAAAACCTCAGTTCCTTACAGCCTTAAACCCAATTAAGTTACCAAATTTCAAAACCAATTTTAGACTTTAAAAAATCTTTCACTGAAGGTGAATTACTATTTAAAATATTTAGCAAATAAAGTGCATACATTCAGAAATGAAAAATTAAATAGATTTGATAGGCACCATTCAAAACAACATTGTAACTGTTATTAAAACAAAACCTTACTTGTCTGGGTTTTTCACTCTGAATGTTGCATTAAGCGCTTTTAACCTGGAGTCTGCCTGGAAAAAATAATTTGTTCACTTAATACATTTCATAGTATAAAATTTAAACAATTTTACTTTTCCTTTAAAATTAAGATGCCTAGGTACAGTTTACTTCATATCAATTGTTGTAAATACATTACACATACCCAAAAAGCTTAGTAGTTTAGTTTTTTAAAAACTACAAAAATATGTTATAAGTCAGAACAAATATGTGACATTCAATGATACCAAAGTAAAACAACTGTAAACACAAATGCACTGCTAGGCACACAGCTCTGCATTATTATAATTCAAAGTAAGTAGACTGAAAAAGTTGTTTACCTTTTCTCTAAGTTGCAAAAAGCAACGATGTGTGTGTATAAACTAAACAGAACTACTGCTTTAAAGTCTATGTCAAAGTAAGGGTAGTTTTCATTTTTTCAACTCAAATGTACACTGTTTATTTTCATTTTTATAATCAGCATTATTTAAAAAAGAAAAATATTAAAAAATCTGTACTTAAAGTAATACCATATTAAGGTAAACTACGTAATTTCACATCACTTTCTACCTAGCAAAAAATGTTACAAGAAATAATTTTTTAACTATCTTCACTTATTTCTAGATAATTATTTCCAAAGGAGGGGCAGAGGGATAGGCAATAATAATTTAATTGCATGAAATATATATTTATATCCAAATCCTAAATGCTCATTAAAAAAAAAAGAAAAGAAAAACAAAAAGATTACCAAATAACTGTTCTGATCAAGGTACAGGAACCCTAGGGTTCATCAAAGGTGGCTCAATCAGGAATCATTTAGAAAAATGTGGTGTGCTTTTATAAATCTCAATCAGCTTAAAAATGTTACATTATCCCAACTTTAGACCCACAATTACAAATACTGTCAATTAATTAAACAAACAAAACAAAAATATTACCAGGGCTCCCCAGATTACTAGGCTGAGAAAATAAAAACAAATACTAACAAATATGCTACTCTAAAAACTCAGCCTCCTAGAACTCCAGACCAAAAGAGATTCAAACATCTGTCTAGAGAATATCTAAAGAAGTTTAATTTATCACTGATTTCAATGGGTTCTCTGATTATATTGAAATCAGTATTTCTCCAATTATTGACTTTCTTTACATTTCAAGGACCAAAAAGCTAATACATGAGAAAGTCCTTACAAATAAAAGCACCTATGAATTCAAGGCATAGTATACTGAAAATCACTGAACACCAAAGAATCTCACAAGTGCTAACGATTTTAGCTGCATGCAGATATAATTCTTTAAATGAGGATAAAATTGCATAAAAACTGGGGATGGCCTGCTGGTTGAGGTGCTGGACTCCCATATGGCACCTTGCTTTCTCTCTCTCTCAGCTCAAATTAAAATAAATGAATAAATAAAATATTCTTTTTAAAAATTACACAGAAACTGTAAAGAAAAAAATTATTTATATCTTTATGCATGCTAGTTAGTACCGCCAATTTACTTTTTCCTCTTCATGTCACCATATTACCAATTTAGAAATCATATAAATGTGAAAGGTTGCATCCTAGCCCTTGGTTACCAAATATTCTGTCAGGTCATTCCATCACCACACCCAACTTCAATCTGTTCATTTTTTCACAAGATGCCACACAAAGGGAGAGTGACTAAAATGTCACCAAACCAGAAACGTTTCCTCCCGGCTGGATCTCCAAAGAGCTACCTATAGAGTATACCTCGTCAGAGTCCCCAGGAAACACCTACAGATGCCCCCTAACCCATCATTGTTGCATCTTATTTATTTTCCTTTAAAACAGCATCATCTGAAATCATCTTGTTTACTTGGTTCTTGGCCGCTGTGGCAACACTTCATCTGCTTTATCTTCCCCCAAACCTGGCCTAGGATACCAGCCTAGCCCTCTCCTAACATTCTCCTTCCTGTCATTCAGGTCTCGGCTCAAATGTTACCTCTGTAAGGAAGTTGGACATGAAGTTCAACTTGCCCAGGACAGCTCTTGTTGACAACTGTTGCACTAGTCCAATTATTAACAAAAATAGTGCCCCATTTTACTCTCAAAAGGGTTCCCATATGAACGATACATTTTATAACCACCCATCTCAAAATAACACCTAAAAAAAGGAAAAACCCTTACTATCACATTCTTTAATAACGGCGAGGTTTGAGACCAGCAGATTGCATAATGGTGATGTCGCTGGACTTTCATGTAGTTGACCACAGTTCGAGTCCTGGACCTGATGGCTTAAAACTCACACTGGGCCCATCTGAGTGTGTGCCCAAAATCCTGAGAGGAGAATGGAGGAGAAAGGATTGTGGCATGGCCATGCCCCCTCGGGGATGATTTCTCACTGTCTGTCTCTCTCTCCAGCGAGCACACACGCCCTATACCAAAATATCTCTCTTAAAAAAAAAAGATGAGACTTTATTTACTTTATACCACTTATCACTGAAGTATCTTATATCTTAAATGCTAATTTAGGGGCCAGCAGGTGGCATGGTGGTTAAGGCATTTGATTCTCATATGGTCGATGTCCCAGACCTGGTGGCTTGCTTTCTCACTTTCCCTCTCTTTCTCTCTATCTCTCTCAGATCAAATTGAAAAAGATAATAAAATAAATAAATAATTTTTAATGCTCATTTAAGTCTCTAACTACTAAAATATAAGCTCCATAAAAACATGGACCTTACAGATGTTCCCAGCTCATTCAGCTCTACATCCGCAGTGCACAGAAGCTGACCTCACACCCTGTAGATAACCAGCATTTTCACACTTCAGGTTGGCTTCCTCGGAGTTCCTATTCAATAACGAAATCGGCCGAAATCCTAAGGGTCCAGATCTGGGATCTGGCAGTCCTTGCTCCAAGCAACAGATGGAGTTTCAGGTTCTTCTTAATCAGTCTAAATCCACTTAAGTCTTGGGTATATGAAATGATGCTTATTTTCATGACTGAGTTAACTGTATTGAAAGGTTACTTTAGGGACCAGCAGTTGGTGTAATGGCTATGCTGCTGGACTCTCATG